CCGCCCCCAGCGCCGCCCGCCGGCATCGCAGGCTCCTCTCCACGCCCAGTCCCCCCAGCGGAGGTGAGCCGAGGCCAGCAGAGAGGTCACCCTGGGAGTGCACTGCAAGGGGACCCTGTTCTCTCCTCGCCTCCTTGCCCCCCCACCCCAATACAGTTCTGGGCTATGTTTGCGGTAGGAAAGGGCGTTACCTGCCATTGCACACCCGCCAGGGGGCAGATGGAGGTGCAAAGTGACCCTCCCACCCCCACCTAATCCCTGATGGCTGCACCACCCCTAAAACCACGTCTACCCTCCCAAGCCCACCACGCATTAGGGCCAGTCTTGTCTGAAAATGTCTTTATTTAAGCACAAAATTTGAGATAAAACATATACATCTGTACATGGGGGCAGATTTACAAAACCGTGGTCACTCTCCTTCGGGGGCTCTAGAGCCTCGGGGTGGGCCCCAGGTCCCAGGATCAGGAGGGCCCTCAGCCACACCCTGAGCAGGCTCTCCTGTGGACTCCTGGGCAGGCATTGCAGTGCCATACCTCCTGGGCAGTGCCCACAGGGAGGTCCAAGTGACCTGGGGGGAGAGACTCTGTAGGGTGCAGTCCCAGGTTGGCTGACTCTGCTCTCCCCAAGGGTCCCCAGGCTGGATATTGCTGACGGGTGTGGGGGCAGAATCTGAGACCAAGGCAAATAGGAGCTGTCCCCCATGAGAAGCCCGCCCACAAACCACACCGAGACAGGCGGACCCTCCCCTCCCAGAAGACTGCCAGAGGCCGGCAAGGGCCTGGGATGGTGTCCTCCGCTGCCACCTCTCTCGCCCCTAGGTTCCAACCCACTGCACATTCAGTACGTCTCAGGCAGGAGGGGCTCCAGGGAGGGCCGGGGGCACAAAGTGGGCCTCCAGCAGCTGGTGCTACGTGCCTAGAAGGCTGTGGATCAACGAGCTAGGCGAGGCCCGGGTGAGGCAGGATGGCCAGGCTGGAGGCTCTGGAAGCACCCTGGCGGGGAAGAGCAGACCACCCGCCCAGTCTGCAGCTCCTCCTAAGTGAAGCCCTTCCAGCCCGGGTGGGAAGGAAGCAGACCACACAGCCTGGGGTCAAATTCC